TTTGTAATCTTGAAAGAGGTTTGAAGAATCAAGATTCAACAGACACCCCTAAACTGCAAAGATCAGCTTACCTTAATTGAATTGAATTGGTTTCGTCCCGTAATTACAGAGTAATACTGATTATTAGTTAATTAATTCTCCGATTAATACCAGATTCCAGTGGTCTGCTGTGGTTGGAATTGGGATGGGGACAAGGTCCCAGCAGCAACCAGGCCGAGAGCGAACAGGGCAGGACGACGACGACATGGCCGGGGGTCAGTCCGTCTCCATGAGCGGCAGCGTGGGCTCACCCTCCAGCCGCAGCGAGCAGACCATGGCCACGCCCGTCGGCGACAACAGTTTTCTCCGATTGAACCATCCCGACGTTCACGGCGACGACGCTGGCTCCCAAGGCGCCGTTGGGTCAGTCACTTCCCTCCCTCCCTCCCTTCTCTTTCTGCTTCCGGCCTTATTAGGGCACCGAAACAAATTATTTTTATTTATTTCTGTATAATTATATATATAATATTTATGTGCTCATTTTCTTGTTTATCTAATATTATTTCTGTTGTATGTAGTTTATTTGCTTATTAATTTGATTTTGTTTTTCATTTGAGTCCCCTGAATCTGTGATTATATGCATGTCCACTGCATATATTCATAGAATATGCAGCCACATTGTTTAGTTTCAGAGTCCTGACTTCGGCTCTCTCGTCACCGATTTGATTGGGTTAACTAGCACTCTACTCTATGCTACTAAGATATGGTGACGAGAGGCCACCGAAATCAGGTCTCTGATGTGTGCACATGTTTGTAAAACTTTTGTTTGATAATTGACAGTGATTCATTTACAGCACTTGTTAAATTACTTTTGAACAGTAGCAAGAAGAAGAAGCGAGGTCAACGGGCCGTGGCAGGTGATAAGAATGGAAGAGGACTACGCCAATTCAGCATGAAAGGTGCTTCATTGATCGCCTTCGTGCCTTATCTTATTTCCTTGTTACATTCTGTTTTTCCTACCAAAAAGGTGGTTGAATTTAACTGCCTCTGTATTGCATTAAAGGGATGGACACTGTTGTTATTTTTGTCCATGGTTATACTTCGTCTACCTGATTGTCTGATTCTGAGTTGCTCGTGTCCAGTGTGCGAGAAAGTGGAGAGCAAAGGAAGAACCACTTATAATGAGGTTGGATGGTTTCTTCAAGTCAGTTTGATTGTTTTGATTGTTTGTGTTTATTGTTCTTTTTCCGTTTTGCCCTAAGAGTGCTCACTCCTGGTCCTATGTATCAAATGGATTATGCATGATATCAGGGAGCATTTCTTTCTCCTCAGTACTTGTTTGCATGTAGATACTAGTAGAGTTCATGCATATGTTGATCTAATAGGTTACTGAAGTGGGTTATTGTAGCATCCATCAAGGATTGGTAATTAACAAATTTGGATTCTTCTTTTCAAGCAACCACTTGACATGTGTGTCTGCCTGTTTGGTGCTAAATAAAGGTGATTCATAGGCTAGCATTCGCAGGCTAGTGACTCTAATGTTTCTCCTCTAACTACTGACGTGTTCCTCCTCTGATTGCTGAGGTGTTGCTTACTCCTTAGTCCTTAGACATATGTGGATGAATGACCTTGTTGCTACAGGGGGTGGTATAATCTCAGAGGTCACTTAAATTTCATCATCATCTGAAGCTATGCTGTTTAGCGGGAGTAATGTATCAAATGCTTGCTTCGGAACAATTGTGCGAAAGTTGTTGGAGCAAAGGGGACTCATTAGGCAATGGTGTTAGCATTAAGAGAGCAGTGCATTGTGATTTAAAACTGACATAACAGAAAATAGTTTTTCGCAAGATCCACATGTATATAAGTTCTGTTCCTTTGGCCCCCATTTGTTTCTCTTTTCTAGTTAGTGTATAACATATATCTTTTCTCAGTCTTACCAATTTTATTTTGAGACAATATTTGTTCTTTTTTTATTGGTAAAGAAGTTTGAGTACAATCTTAAACCTAAGAGTTTGAAGTGCATTCCAGGTTGCAGATGAACTTGTAGCGGAGTTCGCTGACCCTAGCAATGCTGTTACATCCCCTGATCAGGTTTGATAACTAAGCTGATACATCTGCAGTCTTCTGGGGAAAAAAAGGGAATGAACTTGCTAACTTTTTCCTGTCTTGGTTTCAAATTTATTTAGCAGCAACAAGATGATGAGAAGAACATCAGGCGAAGGGTATATGATGCCCTCAATGTTCTTATGGCAATGGATATTATATCTAAAGATAAAAAAGAAATACAATGGAAGGGTTTGCCTCGTACAAGCCTGAATGATATTGAAGAACTGAAGGTCTGATTGCAGTCTATTTTTTATCTCTTGTACATTAAGTGGTTTATTATCTGTTGACCATTGTAGACCAATTTTGAGATTATAAAACTAGTTATACATGTACTAAATGCAGACTGAGCGCATGGGATTGAGAAATAGGATTGAAAAGAAAGCTGCCTATCTACAAGAGCTGGAGGAACAAGTAATGAATAGCTATTGTCAACTATAATTACTATTGTTCTGCGAAAACATGTCTGAATGATACGATGCACTCAACCATGTAGATCAGTGTCTGCACACACTAACATTCTTATCTCTTTTATCAGTACGTGGGTCTTCAAAATCTGATACAACGGAATGAGCAATTATACCACTCCGGAGATGCACCCAATGGAGGCGTGGCTTTACCGTTCATTCTTGTGCAGGCAAGTTTTCTTCTCAAGGTTTCCCTTGTTTCATGACTACACATTCTGAGAAATGGTTCAGAATATAGTACTTTTTTTACATATGATGCATGAAAACAAAATGGTTTGGATTTGAAGAGTTGGTGTGATTTGGTTGGTTGGTTTTTGATATGTGACGTGTAACCTTCTGCTTGATACAAGATTTATTATATTTTATACCAACTATAACCGTCATATTTCAATCCCGTTCTAAACAAGAACAAGCATATGATTAGCTTTACTTGACTAATTTGCTGCCAGAAATCCTTTTATGCAAGTTTGTTGTTATCTGGTTCTTGATTACTTCTGTTGTCACACTAATAACTCGTGCACTGATTGTGCTCTTCTTTTCCTAGATGCTTTAGAAGGATGTATAAGTGTTTTTCTTTTAACTTTTACCTGGAGATATCAGAAGTGCCTTAGATTATGGTCTGGCGTTTGAGTTTTCCCTAGACTCTGAGTTGCTTTATCATGCCTCGTACTTATTATTTATGTATTTCTTTTATCCCTAGACTCGCCCTCATGCAACTGTTGAGGTGGAAATATCAGAAGATATGCAGCTTGTGCATTTTGACTTCAATAGGTAACTTTCATTCGTATATTGTTGTAAACAGAGCGACATGACAGATGTTACTAACTTGGTAGTAACATAGCATCTATGCACAGATTGTCCGCTGTTAATGGGCCAACTCTGTCTCTTTGTAATAGCTCAATAAGAAGTTTTTTTCAATTGTTAAAAAGTTTTGCACTCATTATTTTTCTTATCTTTTGATTTTATTTCGTCTTGTTTTTGCAGCACCCCATTTGAGCTCCATGATGACAACTATGTTTTGAAGGCAATGAAGTTTTGTAATAGGCAGCAGGGTGATGATGCGACACAAAATTTAATTGTAGATGGAGGCGAAGGTTGTAGCATGTCGGGCATGTATCAGCCACAAATCCCTCTTTCTTCAATGCTAAACACAGCAATTAGACCACCACCCATGTCACCACCCCTTCCCGGAATACTGAAAGCACGCGTCAAGCATGAGCACCATGGACAATAGTGTTAGCATCTGTATATTGTGGAGAGTAGTTTGCCGGAAGTGAATAGGTCATCACGCACCCTCATGATTATCGTTGTTAGATATTGCCATAAGTTGGATTTAGTTTAGGTTTCAAACAGGCAGATGAGTCTTGGTTGGTTTGATGCTCGGGAGGATGTTGGCCGCGGCAAATGCTTTGCTTTGCTTTGCATGTCCAATATGTGCTATTGTAATTTTTATCCCATTCTTTTTTAGTTTTACCGTTTTTAGGCCTCCGTTTCGTTGTAATAGAATTCAAAGTGGATTGTTTATGTAGTTTGAAGAGAATTGCCCACCTACGCTACAAGAATAGAATCATACGATTAATTTGACAGTTTCTTCTGTACCGGTGTCCTATATTGTTGTTCATCCTTTGTCTTTCAGCGTTTGATTGTTGGTTTCATTCATCATATGGAGTTCCATAGACTCTTAAGATTCTCACAAAGATAAAAAAAAAAACGAGTAATTTATGGAGTTCCATAGACTCGATGTGAATTTAGGCGAATTCATTTCATAACTAAGGTAATATTTCGCCTCATTACAAGGCTTATGGTTTATCAATGCTCGATACAACAATCGTCCGCTCATGTGACAATAGTACTCCAAACCACAAGAACAAGCGAACCAAAAAGATGTCGAAACTCTTACTAATGAGTCTAGCATTAGATGCTGATTTGGGGGTTGTCCATATACCCGGCGATCCACTACTTTCTCTCTCATTTATTTGGGTCCTAATCTCATCTCCTGGTGCTCCGAGAAGCAGCGCACAGTTTTCCGCTCCAGTGCTAAGCCTGAATATTGCTCCCTTGCTCATGCGCCACTGCCTATTACTTTTACCACGGAAAGAAAATTATAAACAAATTAAGTTCTTTTGGGGGAAAAAAAAAAGAGCGTAGTTATCAATGTCCTTGAAAACAAGATCTTGTGAGAAGCGTTTGCACAAGTTAGAATTAGAATATCGCATAACCAGAAAAGTTAAAGAAAAGAAAAGAAAAAGGCAAGTGCTTAACATTGTGGTGTGTGGAATGGTGGACTGCCTACGATGCTTCGGCTCAAATGTGGATAACGCTGTTAAGGATGTTGAATGAGCTAAACACGTGCGACAACGAGAACTGACAAGGCATCTAATATTATTGTTAGTGTTTGTAAATAAGCTCGAAAATAAAGGCTTCTGTCCAACAAGTTCTTCACATATGAGATGCATGAGTTCATCAGATTTTAAACAGAATTATATAAAACCAGGACGAGTCTAAAAAGCTCCGTACAAACATCAAGCCATATAAACGGAAAACTCCGTCCTTTTTAAAACAAACACAGAATCGGGGCCGGAACGTTCAAAGTGATAGCTGGAAAAAGAAAAACAGAAAACACACACATACGAACGCGCGCGCACACAAAACAACAATGACTTCTCACGTGAGGCAGAGTGACGGAGGTCGAATTGCTTTGGTGAGCATAGGGTGGAAAACATTCTTGCTCAGCAAAGTTCATTCTCCTTCGAGCAGCCTTGCTTTGCCCTCCGTAAGTCTTCTAAAACTTTGAGGTATGAGTCTCTAATTGCACTCATTTTTCCAACAGCCGCATCCATATGCATCCGCTCCCTTGGTGATATTGCACAGCAAGAGAGTCCTACCCGCATCACTGCAGAAAAGCATTCCTCTAACTTTTTTTCTTTGACCGGTCTGCCATTGACACGTATTTGTAGTGCAGTTCTTTCGTGCAGTATGTCATTGCCGTATCTGCCATCGTTAACATCACCACCTGCATCGAGGTCGAGCTGTAATGAAGGGTCAACAACGTCCATCACGTGGTCAGGCAAAGCCGTGGCTACGAATTCGTAAATGCTAAGACCCTCTTTGAACATGTCATCGGTAGGTCTCTTTCCCGTAAACATTTCTAGCAACAATATCCCATAGCTATAAACATCTCCCAGCATAGAAACTTGGCCTCCCGTGCCATACTCTGCCATGACATACATACGATAAGATGCCGTATGCAATTGGCTATTAGAATTGACATTTTAGATTTTTATGTTACTTATTTTCCAAGAAAAAATAGGCAGTAGTATGTTTTTAATAAATGGATATTTAACTAGTTGGTTTTTTTGTAATAATTTACTAAGAACATAAAAAAGAAGTTAGAATGATAGAAACTCATACCTGGGGGAATGTATCCTATAGAACCCTTTAGTTGAGCAGATATGGTTTGACTGAAGAAGGGATCATTTGATGTTTCGAAGAGGAACTTTACTAAACCAAAGTCTCCAACATGGGCTACCATATCTTCATCAAGAAGTACATTGCTCGGCTTCAGATCGCAATGAACAATGGACGTTTCACAATGGTGGTGGAGATAATCCAACGCTGATGCAATGTCAATGGCAATATTCAATCTTTGGATAAGGCTCAATCTCTTAATCTGGGATTGCTCCTCCTCTCTTGGATACAGCCATGAGTCTAGGCTTCCATTTTCCATGAACTCAAAAACTAAGCTTTTGAAGTCTTTTCCCTGATTATCAATGCTTGAGCACGCAGTTATGATCTTGAGAAGATTACGGTGCCTTGTGTTCCTTAAAGCTTTGCATTCATCAAAGAAACTCTTTGAAGCTCCTTTTTGTTGAAGGTTTATTACCTTAATAGCGACTATTGTTCCGTCATCAGGAATTACCCCTTTAAAAACAGAACCAAAACTTCCAGTACCAATTAGATTATTCAGAGAGAACCCGTTAGTATATTCAACGAGTTTTGAGTAGGAAACTCTTGTCCAATCACTATTAGAACATGAAGTTATAGGTCTATCTCTTGACTTTTTCAACACTAAACAAGAACCAAAGTAGCATGATAAAGCAATTATGAATGCAAGTGCACAAGCTAAGGGGATGACTACTTTTGGGGAAAGTAGTCTTCGAGATGAATGTTGTTTTTTGAGGGGGCATGTAGGAAGATGTAATTGTGGGATGCCACCACAAAGCCTATGATTTCCAAGAACTGAGACACCACTGACATTTACAAAAATTCTTTCTTTGGGCAACTCACCCTCAAAATCATTGTATGAAAGATTGAGATACTTAAGAGCTCTAAGCTTGCTTATGAATTCAGGAATCTGCCCAGACAAGTTATTGCTTGAAATGTCAAGAGTTTCCAAGCCTTTTAAATTTTCAAGAGATTGAGGAATTGTTCCTTCAAACTTATTACCTTGCAAATACAATCGCTCCAAACTAGTACAACTGCCGAGGGTGCTAGGGATTTCACCTGATAACTTGTTGTCTAATACATTTAGCTCCGTGAGATGCACTAGATTACCCACCTCAAAGGGCAGTTGACCAGTCAAATAATTATAAGACAGGACTAAAGAAATTGAGAGGGTTGAAAGCTCCATAAGCTTCGTAGGTATGGTGCCCGTAAGATTGTTACTATCAAGTCCAAGACTTATTAGCTTTTTGCAGTTTCCAAGACTTGGAGGTATACTACCCTCAAAGCTATTGGACCACATGTAGAGCTCTGTCAGTGAAGTCAAGTTACCAAGTGAGAATGGGATTCGCCCAGAAAATTTGTTACATTCCAAATCCAATCCCTCTAACTTCTGAAGTTTCCCAATTTCATCCGGGACACTACCACCCAAATAGTTTAGTGTCAATCCTAGATAAGTCAAGTTTAAAAGATTTCCAATGCCGTTAGGGAGACTTCCATGTAAATAATTCCACCCCAGGCGAAGATCTTGTAGTTGGGTAGAAAGATTAGCTATGGACCCCGGGATTCGTCCTCCAAACTGATTATCGGAAAGATCCAACTCCGTTAAACTAGTACAATTGGCCAAGAGACTTAGAAAATTCAATTCACCAGCTTTTCTATTTCCCAGTTGATTCTGTTCCAAGTTTAGCCAATCTAACCTTTGCAAGCTTCCGAGAGTATCACCGGGGACTGCCCCAGAAAAGCCATTTCCAGCAAGATCAAGCTTCTGAAGTCTAGAAGCATTTGACAACGATACAGGAATATTTCCTGTGAATTTGTTAAAAGCACAATAAAATATTACGAGATTAGGAAGCATTGTGCCGAGATTTGGTGGTAGCTCTCCATGCAACTCGTAATTTTCAACAACACTGAAAAACTTTATGGAAGAAATATTATAGACCGAAGAAGGAACCATACCAGATAAATTATTAGCCTCAACTGAGAATAGGTCCAAGCCTGTTAGGTGCCCGAGTTCATTGCTTATAGTTCCATGGAAATTGTTGCGGCCAAGATTAAGAATTTTCAAAGAAGAAAAGTTTCCTATCCAACCTGGGATGTTTCCACTGAGATTGTTATAAAAAAGCCATAGATGATTTAGTTTCAACAATGAACTGAGTTGGTTTGGAATGGACCCAGTAATCTGATTGGATTCAAGATTAAGAAGTCTTAGTTGTGTACAATGTGACATATTAGCTGGAATTTTCCCACGGAAGGAATTTTGAGAAAGGTTGAGATATTGCAGGCTTCGTAAACGACCCATTTCTGGGGGAATCTCACCATGAAAGTTGTTCCTCATCAGGTTTAGTGCAGAAAGAAAGGTAAGATTTCCAATGGAAGGTGGTATGGAGCCTACCAGTTGTTGAGCTTGCAGGTTCAAACTCACGACCCTTTTGGCGGAACGGTGGCACGAAACTCCAACCCAACTGCAGAAATGGATGGACTGATTCCACAAGCTCATGACATGGAAAGGATCTTCAGTGATTTTCTTCTTGAAGTCGAGCAAAGCCAAGCGATCAGATTCATTTCCACGCAGAGACTGCTTGGAAATAGGGCTGTTAAGTGCTGCAGATTCCGGACATGTGACCATCCATAAAAGAATGAAACCATGCAGGAATTTCAATGAAACAAGCTTGCCCTTGGTAGGTGAATGCCCCATATATCCTTGTTCTAAAACACAGAGCTAATCAGAAAATTACCAAGTTTAACGGTTCACAAATGCATAAAAGAGAAATCATATAACATAGAAAAAGAATGTTTGATATGATGACCCACTAGAAGGTGCATAAAAGAGAAATCATATAACATAGAAAAAGAATGTTTGATATGATGACCCACTAGAAGGTGCTGCTGCGTAGACGAGTGGGCCCCAGCACTCCACCTTGTCGAATTCGGGAATGCTCGAGTGGAAGTAGATCCATACCAAAGCGTCCTGCAGTTCTGGGTAGTTGTTGAACAAGTTGTTGTCCCCAAGAATGAAGATGACGTGAAGAGGAGAAAGAAAAAAAGAAACTGGCAGTATGCCCAAAAGACCGAAAAAAAAAATTAAAAAAAATTTGAACCCGTAGACCTGTTTCGAACCGGCCCGTTTGAAATGGGCTGGGTTAGATTTGATTCCTAAACTCAAAATTCTTCTATTTGACCCGGCCCGTCCCGTTACATTTTAAAACGGGTAGGGTTCAGTTTCTCCAAATTTGGACCCGGCCCGGCCCGTGCCCAGCCCTAGCTTGATCCTTCATCATGGTTTCAAGAAATTATTTATGCCAGGTTTCAACGGATGATAGAAAAGGATAGGTTATCCTTTTTATTTTTAATGTTTATAAGATTTGTCTGTGTCACTTGGTACTACGATTATTGGTAAGTTTTTATAAATAAAAGTGGTTTTTATAAATTTTTCACTTTATAAATTTTTTTTATGTAGCGGGGTTCAAGACTCTTCAATCTTCTAAATTAGTGTAACAATTTCAAAATTTTCCCTTCACCTTAATATTATAATTGTGAGATGAATAACGCAAAATAACTCTGCCGTAGTGGAAAAGTAGTGGTTTACTGGTTTGTGCTTAATTGTTTCGAGTTCTAACTTCTAAACATGGAGGATGCATTTTAATCGAAGTCTTGATCGAAATGGGAATGGGAGAACCAATTTCAGTTAAATTATCTTTCCCTTTTTAATTTTAGTTTTAATTTTCCCAACAAAAAATAAGAACTCTCAGCCGGCTCTCCATTCGTCCCTGGTTGGAAAAAGAATAAAAAAACATTAGTTAAATGTTGTTTCATGAATCCAAAGTCTAAATCCAAGTCTGGAAAAAAACATCAGTTAATGATTTTTTTTATTAGAGTTCAAAGTCTGAATCCAAGTATTGATTGAAATGGGAATGGGAGAACCAATTTTAGTTATAGTTTCTTCCTTTTTTTATTTTAGTTTTAATTTTCCAGATTTTTATGTTTTTTTTTGTTTTATTTTATCTTTAATATTAGTTAAAATCCATACAAACATCCATGTCATTTAATGAATAAATAAGAGCCATTGGATATCATGTAATCAAAAGGTTTCAAAAGAGTGTAAAAATATTTGAAAAAATATTTATCCTTTGATTCTATTTAATTCCATGTAACTAAACAAAAACCTAAACTAATAGGCCCACGCTGGAATAAACCTTTTAACCTAAAAAACAGCCCCACGATGAAGAATCCCGCAAACAAGCATTTCCAAATATAATTAGGAAGCCTAATCTACTAACAATTTATATTTTTATTTTTGGCCTTCAAACCTCCAATAACAATTAGGAAATATACAAAATTATAAAAAGAATCACAACTAACATAAAACACGACGTATCCAATATTTTGCCTCATCTCCAATACGTAAATTATGCAATGGAAATGTTGAACTATTTGAGCCAAATGGTTGGTTGTTTCCCAAATGCATGGGTTGTTTATGGAATTTTGTTAACCTACCAGTTACAGTTGTATTTGCAGAAAGAATTTTTTCAAATTAAAGTTGATCAAATCTTATCTTTGATCAACCATGTCACAAGAAAGATTGAATGAGTTAGCTATTTTATCAAATGAAACAGAACTGGTTGAAAAATTAGATTATGTAAACTTAATTAGTACATTTGCATCTAAAAACGAGGGACGTGTAATATTTAAGTAATGTTTGTGTATTTTTCTTTTTTTTTTATATTAATTTTTATGATATTTGATGTAGAAATGAATTTTTTTTTCATGTGTCTAGCGAATTATTTTTTTTACATATAAATATACAAAGAGTCGGAGGTCAAAAAATTCTAGGGCCCACTTCGAAACCTCTAAATTCTCAAGATCAACTGACACACTCCAACCATGATATCCTGAAATATCAAGGTAGGCACGTGCGGGTTGTTCATACATTCGTTGAAGCCATTTCGTACACTAGGTTCAATTTGGCAAAATAAGGATTTGGCATGACGGCGTTTGTGTTTTTCTTCAGGGAAGGAAATGCACACCTATACTTATGCATTTATTGTCATCTTTATTACCTGATTTACGGTATGTTATGATTAGTTGTTTATGGTCTACGCGTAATGTTCTATCAATTTCCGCTTGCTTTCAGATGGCCTCGTATAGCACAACTGGAGTGCCGAGATGATGAACTGTATTTTCATTGTCGACGCTGGGATTAAGCTCATGGACGCTGGCTAACGTCTCAACTACATTGAAAATACTGTATGCCTATGGTATGAAGCATGAATACTTCTCAACCGCCATCAGCATCAAGATTCAAATTTATAAAAGGAAAACCTCCCCCCTCCATTGATAGGGGACAAATAATGAATAACATCATTTGTTCATGCCCAAAATTTAAAAAACCCAGCCAGGCTTCTCTATGATTCTCTCTCCAGGTAAACGTCAAGGTCCTCTACCCAGTTTACTAACCTAACCTAATAGAAACAAAACTGCCTGCCCGATAATATATGCTATGACTTAGTGGACATGCTATCACACTACACGCTACCTTCATCTCCAGCTGCAAATTTTCTTCTCTGTTGATGCTCAGCAACCTTGTAGTCTACAACTTCACGAAATAGGCTTGGATCAAGCACGCAATCCTTACTCCCATAAACTGCAGCTTGGATGCTTGCCATTAGTTTCGCTATTTCTCTCCCAGAGAACCCTTCTGTCTTTGCCGCTGCTTCTCTAACCATATCATCTGTCAACCCCTTCATCTCTATCCTCTGTGGTTGTTTCTTAAACAAATTACGGAACCAACCAGATTTGCTTGATGAACCAGCCTTAGAAATGTACTTGTCCAGATACAATTTCAGCAGCTTAAAGCGTTCCTCTTCCCCAGGCAAAGGGAATTCAAGCACTTCATCAATACGATCAGCAACAGCTGAATCGAGATCAGCGGGACGGTTTGTGGCAAGGGCAAGGACTATGTCCTTGGATTGGTCACCAGTGCGGAACAGGAGAGCGTTGAGTGCACTTCTTTGAGCTTCACTCATATAGGTTTTGTTCCGCCTGCAAGTTTTGTTAAACACATTCAACCCTCTCTGGTGAGTTATCAATCGATCAGTCAGAGAGTGCAAGTTCTCCTTTTCTACGAGACTACAACGAAATTAAAACACCATTTTCATGCCTGTTAATTGAATGACTTACTCGCACAAAAATGCATCAGCTTCATCAATGAAAAGTAGCAGACCCTGCCGTGACTTTTTGGCCCAATCAAATAACTCATGTATCTTGGTAACAGCCCTTGGTCCAAGTGGAGCAACATCCCCTCCCGTCATCAATGCATAGTCTAATCCCTAAAGACAATTTGAATCAAGCATACACAAATACGAGAAGGAAGATTATGTTAAGGATGAAGGATGAAAATAAAACAAAAGCTGGCAGATCAAAATCATATGAGTATGAATGGAGCTGTCATGGAACAAATTACTAAAACTTTCCATTCAAGATACAGACTCTGAAGCAAAAGTCAAAACATAAAAACTACGTTGAAATAATATAAAAACACATTAAAATCATAAACACAGTTCTAGAAGTTTTATTATAGTTAATGGCAAGTAACTACTTTCCTAAATAACCGCACATCCAGCAGTGCTCAATATTGTCTAGCAGAAGAAGCAACAAAACGGAAATTAAAACCGAATACTGGTTTAAAGATAGGGTCAGATATCATACAGATTTACGAGCCATCTCTCTAGCAGCCATTGTCTTCCCAGTTCCTGGAGGACCATAGAAGAGCATGTTTCTGAATGGTGCTTGATGAGATTTTGTATTCGCAGTTGCCTTAGCCAAGTGTTCAATTCTTTTCCGAAGAGAAGGGTGTAAAACAACATCACCAAAGGCCTTCCCATTTTGTATTTGACCCTTTTTTCCACCGAGAGATAGGGCGCTTATAGAACGTGAGAATAATCCTGACCAAGGGTATTTCCCTTTAGAGGACTCTCTGATCAAAGATGGTTGTCCCAATATTCTATCCACGTAGCTCCATATCACCTTTGAACCTTCTCTGCATTGGATAAATGGGACGTGCATAAGAAAACAGCAAGGTACACAAGTTATTTCACGAAGGTAGACTCTTAACCTGCTATGACTTTAACTGCAAGTCTATCTCTGTGAATCTAATATCAATCCAGAAAAGAAGAACAAAACAAAAAACAAACTAAGTTTCAGATGTTAACAATTCATGGGCATTCACTAAGGGAATAACCGATCTAGAGTTTCATGTCCAAGTTGGTCCCAGGGGAGAGAGAGAGAGAGTCAAATGCCAACACAGTTTTTTTTTTTTTTTCCTTTCTCCACATGGAAAACATACAAAAATTGCTAAGCAAATTAAGAGGATGAACCAGGAGTATAGAAAGAAAAAAATAGATCCCTAGCTTTCAAAGGAAATGCCACACATAGGTAAAAGGGAAATGCAGTATTTCAAATATTCGTTTAAAATATCAACACAGACCTTGTTGTGTAAACACCTGCAGCTAGAGCTGTAACTCCCCCAACAGCAACAACTAGTTTATTCTGATCTGTCAGAATCGCTTTCAAGCCACCTGCAAAAAAATAGCTATTTCTGCATCAACAGTTTTTTAAGAAATAACATGAACTTATCCTAGTTCAAACTTCAAACGAGTATACGATGGCAAATAGAAGAGCCGCTGAGCTGCCCTTTTTTAGTTTGAAGAAGAATCATCCTTC